GGACAGATGCACGGGCAAAGCTGCCAATGAGGGTAGGATAAACGCGAGGTCGGCACCGGGCAGAGCCTGACAGGTTGTTCCAGGCAAGCGGAGGTTGTGCCTGGCATCGCTCCCGCACAGCCTGGCTCCTGGGAAGCGGCTGGGCCCTGGGGAGGAGAGGAGTAAAGATCAACACACACCCCCCCACGGATCAGAGGTTCCCCCTCCCGCTCCTGGCTTAGGCTGCAGCCCTCATTCCCGCCGTCCCTCTCGCCGCGCCGGCGTCGGGCGAGGGTCAGCGGCCCCATCCCTCCGGGGGGACACTTTGCAGCCACAGACCCGGCATCGGGGCAGGGCCCCTCGGGGAGGTTGCCTGTCCTTCCCTGGCTCACAGCCGCGCTTCCCTGTCCCGCAGGCATCGTCGAGATCCGGTCGGTGCGTGTCGGCGTCGTGGCCATCCGGGCAGTGCACACCGGCTTCTACCTGGCCATGAACAAGCAGGGGAGGCTCTACGGGTCGGTAGGTCGGACGCTGCCTCCCGGGAGGGACCGGACCGGGGTCAGAGGCGCAGGGCAGAGCTGGAACAGGGGGTCCCAAATCCACCGGGACTGGTGCCCAGGAGCGGGCTCCTGGTTTCCCACGCCCTGACCTGCTCCCCAGCGGGGGACTGCACCCACAGAGCCCCTCTGCCCTCCAGGGACCGGGGAGGAGCCGGGGTCCTGCCCTGCCCCACTCTCGGGGTCTGACCCCGCCGGAGCAGGGCGACGACGGGCCCTGGCTGAGCGCAGCCGCCCCTCACCCCCTTCCCTCTCCTGCCAGAAGGAGTTCAGCCCCAACTGCAAGTTCACGGAGCGCATTGAGGAGAACGGCTACAACACCTACGCGTCGCTGCGCTGGCGGCACCGGGGCCGCCCCATGTTCCTCTCGCTCAATAGCAAGGGCAGGCCGCAGCGAGGGGGCAAGACGCGCCGGCAGCACCTCTCCACCCACTTCCTCCCCATGCTCGTCAGCTGAGCCCCGTGGGCGGCTCCGGACCGTCCTGTAGGAAAAAATGGAAAAAAGGGTTATTTTATTTATGTACATATCTATTTTTTTGCTATTTATTGTTTTATTTTTAAATGCATGGCGGAGGATGGATGCGGAAGGCAGATGCTCCAGACACAGCCTGCAGCCGCGCAGGGACACGGCTCTCCCCACTGTCCTGCCAAGGCAGAGCCGGCACGGTGCAGCCTGGTGAGTGCGGCCACAGCAGGCCAGGGCTGCCAATGTCGCGCCCCCACCCATGCAGCTCGGACAAGGCAGCCGTCGCTCTGCTAACGGCATCTCTGCAGGGGCTGGGATGGAGGCTGCGGGGCTGGGGCGTAACGGCGGGTCGTATTTGTCTTGTGTCCAAGCACCCGTGGCAATTAAAGCTGTGTTGGTGGTACGGAAGGGGGAGCGAGTCTTGGAGCTTGATGGTGGGCTTGGATCGGGGCGGGGGGGGTTG